TGGGATATACAAAGTGACCTCTCCGAAAAAACTTCATCTGTTGATTTTTTGAAAAATTCAACAAAAATTGAATCAAATTCCATCTTTTTGTGCCACTTTGAAATAAAAATTTCAAAGTTTTAACATTTAATCTTAATGATTCTAAGTCTCATATTAAAGTTCAGAAAATGGAATAAAGAATATATATAAGATTCTATCATTATTTTACGTTCTCGAAACTTTTAACAAAAAAATGATTTATTTTTTATTGCTTATATACCTTAATATTTTTTATTAAGAGAAAAATGATTCCAAATAAAAATTCAAAAGAGATCTTGAAGGGTTTAATACGACTATTTATGAGATTTCTTCGATACTTTGAAAAAGTAAGACTCAGGATACAATATAGCGTGTCTGTGTGTGTTTGTGCGCGTGTGTACAATTGGAATATTGCTACGTCGACAGTTGAGAGATATGAGATTTGCCGACAGAAAATATGAATGTACTTGTATATATATCTCTATATGGGTAGGAGATCAGGAGACATAAAGAAATTTATAAAATTTTGAAGTCGATATAAGCAAAGTCTATATGAGAGAAATCCTACTCTACTATTGATATCTTAAAGAAATAATGATAAGATAGATCCCTTATTTATGTATGTATGTGTGTGTGCGTGCAAAGTCGCACACACGATTCCCATAAAGAATAATATAATAGACAAGAAAATTTAAATTTTTTATTGCAAATATCTTTATTTTTAATAGCACTTTACATTTTACGATATTTAATGAAAAATTGCAGCATGTATAACTGATTTTATTTTTTTTTTACACAGCCTACATTTTATTTTCTTTGGAGTATTCATCTTGTACTTCTATAGCACCCGCTTGTGTTAGGAAAAAATGTATTTTAGTTTTAAATGATGAAATAATTTGGCGAAATAATATTAAAAATAATGTAGCATGGGAGGATTAATTTTTGTCAACTTCAGAGAAAAAGCATCGGCGGAACGATGAATATTCGGCGATACTTGTACGTGGAAGCAATCAGAGCTTAACGACGTTTCGAAAATAGGAATCATATAGACGGCCTATTTGCGGATTTTACGACGCCTACGTTCTCGTCGCCATTAATCTCTAATCGTTATCGCCGCGAAAAGACGGGACGACGGAGAACGCGACGGGATTCGTTCGTCCGCGGAGAAGAACTCGACCACCCAACGACCACGTGGCCTGTCGGGATATTTATGTTACGACGCGACGCATGTAGCATGTAGAGTAACCGCTCGTGTTGACGAGCTCGCGCTTTTTGCCAGCCTTAATGCACCGGCTTTTACTGCACTCGCGTCTGTCCGCGGCTTTATCGCGCCGTTCGTGATGATGCATCGCGCGATGCATACGCTAATGACCGGGATTGCATTGCCGAATGGCGCCGTTAGCATCGCCACCGATATCTCGATTTCCTAATGCACACGAGATGATTTATGCAAGTAGCAACTAACATTTACATACATTTCTCGCGGTAAAACTGGCGAAGGCTTTCAAGGAATGAAAAGCGGTGCTTTTAAAATTATTTGGATTTGCGAGAAAGCAGGAAAAGCTCTATTTTGTCGAAAAAAATTGCTTATTATCATAACTATAATTTTACAGAAGTTTATAAAAATTGATTAATCTTTTTTATTTCTTTTTAATATTTGATATGTTTATGGAATATTTATTTAAAGTTTTTTGAATATATAACTGATTTTATTTTTTTTTTATTTTTAAAGAAACGTTTAAAGAGCGATTAAACAATAATGAGTACATTAGTTTAACGACCGTTTCGAAATTGCCAACTCGGCGCCAACGATTATCTCGTTACTGCGTGTACTTTCGAAGCAGCTCAGCTCTTTAAAATGCACTGGCTCTTAATGAAAGTTCTCATACTAACAGGAAATACTGATATATTAAAACTGTTGGCAATATAATTTTTGCATTTTCATTAAAACTTTCTGCTATTTCTCAAAGAATAATTTATATGAAAAATGGTTTACGTATGAATTTTTGCCTTTAGTATACATATATATTTTCATATATCTGCATGTATGTGTGGGAACCAATTAAAACCTTATTGCGAATTGTAGTATAAATTGAATTTTTTTTACTCTAACTGTGATGGATGCGCAAATATTAATCAATTTCGAATTTTATTATTTTAGGAAAAAATGTATTTTAGTTTTAAATGATGAAATAATTTGGCGAAATAATATTAAAAATAATGTAGCATGGGAGAATTAATTTTTGTCAACTTCAGAAAAAGCATCGGCGGAACGATGAATATTCGGCGATACTTGTACGTGGAAGCAATCAGAGCTTAACGACGTTTCGAAAATAGGAATCATATAGACGGCCTATTTGCGGATTTTACGACGCCTACGTTCTCGTCGCCATTAATCTCTAATCGTTATCGCCGCGAAAAGTGTGTGGGAACCAATTAAAACCTTATTGCGAATTGTAGTATAAATTGAATTTTTTTTACTCTAATGTTTTTTTACTCTGTGATGGATGCGCAAATATTAATCAATTTCGAATTTTATTATTTTAGGAAAAAATGTATTTTAGTTTTACATGATGAAATAATTTGGCGAAATAATATTAAAAATAATGTAGCATGGGAAAATTAATTTTTGTCAACTTCAGAGAAAAAGCATCGGCGGAACGATGAATATTCGGCGATACTTGTACGTGGAAGCAATCAGAGCTTAACGACGTTTCGAAAATAGGAATCATATAGACGGCCTATTTGCGGATTTTACGACGCCTACGTTCTCGTCGCCATTAATCTCTAATCGTTATCGCCGCGAAAAGACGGGACGACGGAGAACGCGACGGGATTCGTTCGTCCGCGGAGAAGAACTCGACCACCCAACGACCACGTGGCCTGTCGGGATATTTATGTTACGACGCGACGCATGTAGCATGTAGAGTAACCGCTCGTGTTGACGAGCTCGCGCTTTTTGCCAGCCTTAATGCACCGGCTTTTACTGCACTCGCGTCTGTCCGCGGCTTTATCGCGCCGTTCGTGATGATGCATCGCGCGATGCATACGCTAATGACCGGGATTGCATTGCCGAATGGCGCCGTTAGCATCGCCACCGATATCTCGATTTCCTAATGCACACGAGATGATTTATGCAAGTAGCAACTAACATTTACATACATTTCTCGCGGTAAAACTGGCGAAGGCTTTCAAGGAATGAAAAGCGGTGCTTTTAAAATTATTTGGATTTGCGAGAAAGCAGGAAAAGCTCTATTTTGTCGAAAAAAATTGCTTATTATCATAACTATAATTTTACAGAAATTTATAAAAATTGATTAATCTTTTTTATTTCTTTTTAATATTTGATATGTTTATGGAATATTTATTTAAAGTTTTTTGAATATATAGATTGAATTTTATAATCTCTAATTATATTTTTTAATTTTATCGAATACTAATTTAATTGGATTGATATATATTTTTAATAGTTATATATCTAATTTAGAAATGTGTATATTTACAAGTTAAATGCATATCTATTGAAAATATACTATATTATACTAAAATTTTAATAATAACTAAAATTTTTACTCTTGATTCTAAATAATGTATTGTAATAAAGAATAAAATTTTTGTTGTACTTAAAGATGGTAAAATCTCTCGTGATCTTTTTGCAAAATATGAATTTTTAGAAACAGGTACTTAACTTAAATGAGAGATTTTTTTGGCAGAATGCTGAAGAAAAGTCCCATTGAGAGAGAAGTTCTATTGGAAAACGGCTTTTAGACTTTTGATGGCCGTTCAAAACTGCTTGGGGAAAATGCGTGAACTGTTTTCAAAGTTTCTGCGGAATATCGTCAGTTTTCAGGTTTTACGACAACGCCGCGTTATCGTAAAACCTGTGTGCAAACGTTTCAAGAATCGCTTTTATAATATGAATAAATTCAAGCATCTTGCGAATAAATTCGAGTAATACGAATAACTTTAAGCAATGCGAATAAGTTTGGATAACACGTACACAAGTTTGATGGGTAAATTTGACTAATACTCTCGAAAGAAATAATATCTTTGTGAGATAAATCTGCGTTCCTAATTGACCGGGTTCATTAGGGATTCATTATGACGGTCGGGATATAATGTGAACGGCTGTACATCAAAGTCGAAGAAAGTTCACAGAGAATTCGCGCGTGGCACGAAGTCGACGAAACATTTCCGCAGTTAGGATACGTCGCTAAACTGGCGCGGCCTTTCTATCGTTTGTCGTCGCAATTTCATCAGCTGCAACATCGAGCGAACTTAATTATAATGCGAATGTCGTCAAAGGAAAGCATTTGGGATATACGGAGTGAGAGACTAATATGCGCAGCGTGACATTGAGTGAATTGTCGGTGAAATGTTTAGATATTTAGTGGGATGTTGCGAACTTGCTAATCATATGAATCTTGTTCATTAATTCTGGTTTGACTTTTCCTTAATACGAGCGTGTTAATTGCGCATAACATAACTACAAATAGATAATAAAACTTTATTCTTTATTTAATTTCTTAATATATATGCTTATAACAAAACTTTTATTTGCATTATTTTGGGAAATATATCCTAAATTATAATTAGAGTAACAAAGAGTACAGAAAAAAATTTGTTTGCAAATTATCTTACATAGATAACGTGCTTATTATAAGCTTTTTTCAAAGATTTTTATACTGTGTAATTTTCATTTTTTGAAACTATGGCTTTAAAACGTTTAAAAGAGAAAAGCCCTTTGATTATCTCCTCCAAAGTATTTGAAGATAATTTATCTCTTAGCCAGCATGGCGTTTTTTTTTCTCTCTGTCATGTAAAAGTTACTGTGAAACTTTGAATCGGTTTAAATCACTGGTAAAGAAACTTGTGCATTTAAGAATTAAGAACAAATTGAGCAAGAATACCATAATATTACTAGCGACTAGCAACGTTATACGTCTTGCAAACTTCTCTAATTTCATTTTCTTTTGTTACAGGGATCTCTGACTTACGGGGCCTTTTTCCTCATCGTGCGCACGCGGGTAAGTCTTTAAACATTCTTATTCCCCGAGTCAATTCTCGTTTGGAATTACTTCGCCTTCTCGTAGAGTGAGGCTGATCTCAGAAATGTCTCGGGATCTTCTTTCATAAAACTACATGTTTCTAAGGCAGGCTTGTAGTACAAGCATACAAAGACTGCGGCCAAAGAAACATTCTGAGAGGCAATTTTTTAAATATTTAAATCAAAAATTTCAAGTATTACTCTGTGGGCAGGCAACATTTAATATACAATTTTGTATATTAAAATATTACTAGCGCGATAATTCTTTTTATTAATTAGAATTTTAATCAATATGTTCACGAAATGAAAGCCTAATTTCACGTACCGGTAAAATCTCTGGGGAATATATCTCGCATCGCGGATTTTGTTGTTGTTATTTTTTTTTCGCGTGCGTACGCGCCCAGATTGGTGATGAGCTTCACGTTCGCACCCGGCAATAACTAAAATTAATAAGCGGGAACCTATATCTGTCAGAACGTGATGAACGAGGCATGCGTGCCTGGGTGCATACGCAATCGTTTATCGATCGCGTATTGCGGGTCGGTCGAGATGCTTCTTGACGGGTCCTCTCGTAGGACGAGTACCACGTCGTGCGATGAAAGAACCGATCGATTTGCTCGTATCAAGCTGAAGTGACAGATCGATCGTTCAGGATGTCGCGATCCATATTGCGGCGACAATTAATTCGCTCGCGATCTCAAGTACATTGATCGACGTTTGGATGAAACAGTAAGTTTAACATAGATTTGTAGATAACACATTGAGTATTTACATAAAATATTACTTTAATGATATTTTAAGAAAAAAATTTCCGGAAGTATTAGATTCTTTAATTCAATAATTCAATAAATAAATATATTTATTTGCCGAGGAATCAAAAAATATACTTTACGCGCTTTTTGAAAAAAATTTTTGAAAATATTATAATAGACATCTACATTTTTCTTAATGCAATATTTTAATATAAGAAGGACAGAAAATCTCATTTTAAGATGTCAAAACTATTTTACGCAGTAATTTAACTCGTTAAATGAATAAATGCGATAACAACGAAAGAGAAATATGATTTTGTTTATTTTTTTACTTGGTAGGTTATAAGAACGTCATTGGTTGGTTAAAGTTTTTTTCGTAATGCATTAGTTACCGCACGAAACGCAGAAGTATTTTTTTTCTGGCCCTCGAAACGGAGAAAGGTTCGGCAATTTGGCAGTTCGATCACGCACATACTCAGTTCATTAGGCTGTTTGTCCTACGAGCTTGATTAATTGCCAACCACAGGAAATGCACGATGGTTGTTGCCAAAATTTTTAGACGTATTGCATTACACTTTGATTTTATCCCGGTTTCTCAATCTTTCTAAAATGATTGGGCACTTTTGAATAAGGAGAACATTGGCGAAATACCAACAAGCAGATGTACACGTACAATATGTGTATATATGTATGTACATCATTTATTACCTATAATTTACAAGTATTTTTTCATTAATTTGAAAACATAATTGAAATTTTTATTAAAAAATAAATTAAATATAAATAAAATTATTCTTTATAAATTAATTTATATGAAATATCAAGATTGCATTTTTATGACATTGCAAAGTATTTATTTCTTCGTCATAATTTAATTACATTGATACTTTTGAACAGAATTATGTGACGAAAGAGAAAGAGAACCTTTCTTTGACAGAAAATCTAATATAAGTGATTACTTAGATACGACTTATAATTAGTTTGTGATTTGATGAAGTGCAGTGGGATTTTGAATTGCAACTTTGCGTGTCTCGTAAACAGGGTGGTGATTATTAAAGTAGGCCATCGACATGATCAACCCAGCGATATATCCCATATGCCTTTTATGATTTGTACCTATTCATTATTCCATCCAATTATTCCACAGTGTGATATTAATCAAAGTATGGCATTAACTCCTTAAAGCTTCTAGGAAAGCGCTTAAAAATATTTAATGCTCTTTGGAAATTTTACACTGTGTTATAACATTTTAATAAATTAATAATTACATTTCCCAATCAATTTCTGTTTAATGGGTTATAGTTTGTCATTAAATTAATTACAATATTCATATATTTACGCGGTTTATACGCACAATATGCAATGACATTTGCAATATTCCGTTATGCGTGCAAATTAATACGACTTAGCGAAAATTTATTGTAATTAATTACATACTCATCGATCAAAGAGAGAGACAAATGACTGCCGGTGAAGTTTAAGCCATGAAAATAATCATCCTAAAAGGGTTAATATGGCGCATAGGTAAATGATGGGATTGCGTAGACCCCGGGTAATTGCTAATGTTTAGGAGCTGGTTGCCCAGCACCGGCTGACATTATCCTTCGTTAAGGCACAGTAGCTCCTCCGGAAAGGGTAGAAAGAGCGAGAAGATAATGCCTCTCGACGAAACGTAATTATAAGCAATAGCTCCCTCGAGGATTAACAGTCTCGCAAAGCTTTAAAGCTCGAAAAATCGTTGCTTTTTGACTACAGTATTATTAAGAATATGTTGATTTTAGTCTCTACGACTTCGCGGTAATTACTTTTTTTACGATATTTCTTAAAGCATCTTTTCCTTCTCTACGTAATTTATAATGAAATTGTTAAGCTTATCCTTTGAAGTATCCTTTTTAAATTTTTGGAAATTATGTTTGCCCCTATTTAAGTTTCTGCACACTTTCATTAAGATGCCATGCCCGTACAAGATTTAAAGAAAAATGTATATTTTATTTAAATATTTGTTTTTTAATTATAAAAATTTGTGAGAGATTGTTTATTTAAGACGTAGTAACGTAACGTCGATCGATTCGGTTGGCTTTGCAACGTGTCGAATTAATAATCGGGTCACATCTGCGAGATCGATACGTTACGACATTCTTTTTCCACCTATAAAATACTCTAGCCGGCGATCATTTTATCGCCGTCGGATTTTCCTCGCTCGCCATAACAGTTCGATAAATCGAGTCGCGGGCCGCCGGGAATTGTTTTATCGCCTGCCCTCTTTCCACCTTTCTCGTCCCAAGAATCTCCATTCATCCCGCGGAAATCGAGACGCATTTTGCAGGAACGAGATTAAGGACAAGGAACACGGAGTAAGAAAGAAAGAGAGAGAGAAAAAAAAGGAGAAAGAGCTTTCTGATACTTTGTGGCGAACGACCGCGATGAATTTCACCGTCGTTGTCAAAATGGGAGCCAGAATCCGGAAGAAGAAGAAGTAGGGAACTAAGGGGGAGGGAGGAGAGCAGACGGGAAAGGGTCACCAAAGACCAGCATCCCGCGCAGCTATACGATACGTACAGAAGCAACCCTCTCACTCGTATACAGGAACCCTCTCTCGCCGTAACCCTCGACATCGATGGATGCCCGTAAATCGCTGACCTTTTCTCCGAATGTCGTCCCTCTCTTCTCTCTACCATCATTGTCGGACGTTCGCCGCAATTTTCTTGAGAAATTCCCGCGCTTGCCGATCCGCTCTGCTTTTCCTCTCTCTCTCTCGAGCTTTGATCCCGCGGCGCGATTTGTCGATGCACGGCGAACCTGTCGATATTGCGAGACGATGTATATATCGCGCTTATCATATCGATTTGCAACATCTCAGGAAATGATGGTGATTTTTTCGCATAAAAGGAGGACATGCAAAGAATAGTGGCTTGTATAAAAATGAAATTGCGTGCGATTCATACAGGAAATTTTCTGCAGGAATATATATTGCGATAGAATTCCGAGATATGTGTATATCGATAACTGTCTTAAATTTGATCAGGACAAATGGATCGAGTTTATACATTTAGTAAGATCTAGGAGAAATTAATGAAGAAAATACAGATGTGTTTTTTCTCTTAATATATTTTAAAAAGTTGTTAGAAAAGTTAAATGCTTATCAAAGAAAGTTTGAAAATAGATTGTGAGGAATGTAAATTAAAGAAAAACTTTGATTCTAAAACTGGCGAAATGTAAAGAAAATGTATGAATAGTAAATCTAAATTTACAATACGAAAATTTCGGAAATACGGATAGCGCTTATGGCTCGAGGTGACAGGAAGTTGAAAACTTTTTTCTGAATAATCCGTTCAAGTTCGTAACACGGCGTACACGTAACATTCTTCGAATATTTTTCGAACATAATACAAGTTATGAAAGTTACGGCCATAAAAAGCGTTTGGCTGTTAGGGATCGCCCGTACATGGCTCGCACGGTTCATCGACTTTCACGACTGATCACTCTCTTTACTCTTCTGGATACCGCGGCAAATCAATATTCATCCATGGTTCCCCATCCTGCTTTGCCGGCCTCTTCCCTCTCTTCTCGGCTTGTACTGCATTGTATAATAGACCCATGTCCAGTATGCGTACGCAGTCTACGTATATGATTTTACAGTGCCAAACAACCACGTCACAGCATTCTAACGAAAAAATCGAAAAATTATAAAACTCTGCATAGATAGAAATAAAATTAATAACATATATGTTTCAATCTATATAAATATATAACATTTTTCTTATTACGATAGAATTAATTTCGATGAGATTTTTTTATTATGATAATATAAAAATGCTTTTTCATCTTTTCTTTGCAGAATTATTTTAAAAATTGTCATATATATAATAGACTATTTTAAAATATTGAAGTATTGGCTTTTTCTTTAAATTGCGCTTGCCTCTTCTTTCATTTTGCGACATAGAATTTTATATGTTCTCTCGCCCTCGTTTCTCTCGATACACTTCGCCTGGTCGAGCCTTCGGCCGAGTGATAATAATGCCATTGTATAATCGATATTTCACGCCGGTTTTATTGGAACGACTTCGCGCCTGACTCGTCGATAAAATCGCCGGTATACTGGAAGGACGCGAAGCAAATATTGGACGAAATAAAACGCGCAAGAAAAAAAAAAGTATCGGCGAAACGACCGCGGAGCGTGCTTGTGAGGACGTTAAAGAGGGGAAAGAGGAATCGCGGTGGTTTCATT